GACCCTAATTTAGAGAACTATCCGTATAGAACCCTTATAGGTCCCTTTCAGGAAATCCTAAACCCTAAACCCCCCAAAAGGGACCCTAATTCAGACAAGTACTCAAGTCCAAGGGCCCGGGAGACTGCTTGACACCTCCACGACCATCGGCGCTTTGGCGCCTTTTGCGACCCGGTCAAGGATTCCCAAGCCTGATAACCAAAATCGACCCCATACAAGTCGCTAAGCCTGTAACATCCTAGGGTTAGGATTTAGGGTGTAGGGGTTTAGGGTTGTTTAGGGTTTAGGCATAATACGGTACCCTGACCCCGAAGCAAGGAACCCACCTAAGCCTTCAGCCGCTGATTACCAGGGGAGAAACCTGCACAAGACAGTAGGCCCCATACGCCCAACGCAAGGAAAGCACTGAATCCTAAACCCGAAAACCCACGAACACTTTCAGCAACCCTGCGGAACCCCAACCCCGATTCCCATTGAGCTTGGCGGCTTCTTCGGATCCTTCATCTGATGCCGCAGAGTGGGCACTGTGACGATCACCGCGAAGTTGTAGAAGCCTCAGCCACATGAAGGTTTTCTAACACAGGGACGTGGATAATGAGACACGGTCTTGGTGTTTACTCAAGGGCCATAAGGGGAGACTTCAGGAATTCATGATTCCGACCCCTATCAGGGTGCCTCAAGTCAAGGATCACCTGCGAAAGCCCACTGGCCCAGCAAACATCTTCAAGGTTTAGGGTTTCAGGTTGAAGACCTGATCTCGTCTTTGTCGAGTCTTGCTTTTGGGTTGCTGCTCCGCGTCCACGGATGCGAATTGCTCCTGCTTCGGCATTCTGACAATTGATGGTATCAGACTCTAGCCCAGCAAGAGCAAGCTCGCGATCTGCGCATGGCCTTTCGCGACGGCTTGTCTCAAGGGCGTATCGCCCAGCACGCTGTCCGCACGATCCTTCTCCGCCCGTGCCTCCAGAAGCAAGCACACGATATCCACATGGCCATTTCTTGATGCGATCCAAAGAGGCGATTGTCCAAAGGTGTTTTGGCAGTCTTTGTCGGCCCGAGCCTCCAGAAGCAAACGTAGAACTCCAGCGTGGCCTCTCTCAGAAGCCACCCAGAGAGGCGTCTTGCCTCGTGCAAAGTCCTCGAAGCCTTCCAGCATTTTGCTCGCGAGCTTTTTGTCGTTCATGTGGGATATCCTGAGCATTTCTTACGATCTTTTCCCGACTCCGTCACCGTTCAACCAGTATAATGCCGACGGAAGCATGCATAGACGAAGCACGGCTGCTGTGAACGGGTTCACACCTAAAAGGACGATTTAAAAGAGATCAAAAGTATACTGTAAATTTTGACGCCCGAAGATCTTGCATGCAATTTTGTATTGCTCGTTTTCAGCGCCAGTGTCGCAAGACTCCTTTTCAGCACCGGCTTGTAGCAACAACTCTGCAACTTCCGTGTGGCCTTTCTCACATGCCGCAACGAGTGGTGTAACAAAGACACCTTCATCATTGTAACCAAGGAAGTTCGGGTCAATCTGCTTTTGCAGAAACTCTTGTACCTTCGACGTGGCGCCACTTGCAGCAGCCCCTATGATCTCGTCCATTTCTAGCTCTGATGCGCTTGCAAAAGGTAACACAACCAACTGCAAAGTCATTGCCTCCAGCTCGGCATCCTCCTCCAAGCAAGTCCCACTTTCTTGAACCAATCTCTGCCGAAATCGCGGGATGCCCGAGAGCCTATGCAGCTCGCACTTCAGCATCCCTGCCGTCGTCAACTGCTCTGCAGGAATGGCAGCCAGCTCTTCTCCAGATGCCATCAACACTCGCAGCATCGCGGTCCGGATTCTAAGTTCCTTTTCGGGGCTTTGGAGCTTCAGGCATTAGGCGGCGTACGGCTGCAGGGCTACCGTGCCGTGCAGCATTCAAGCCGAAGACTCAAGATACTGGCTGTTGTAGTTGACCCCCAAGTCTCTCAGCCAAACAGCGCCAAATCAGCTGAACAGGAAATGCACGTAACCTTCGGCCCAGCACTACTGCTCTCAGGTTGCGGCCATAAGAGCCCACCTGGGCCAAAGGCAGTAGAATGTCGACCTTGGTGGGAGTTCGGCTTTTGATCTTGCCTCTTACATATCTTTCGCACAGACCTCGCACAGACCAAATTTTCGGTGCAGACGAAGCAGCATCATGAAGAAGTCGGCATGTGTGACACATCAACTATTGAGTTTGTGCTTTCGGCATATGTGGGCTTGTCGGCATTCGGCGGGTGTTTAATTTGAGACTTGAAAGGTACACCGTCCGGTTTCCGCTCGGACCATGCTCGGGACTTTGACTCCCTGCCTGTTACCACCGCACGAACGCTTCTCTTGCTCACGTCTATACCCGGGGGTTGAGGAACAGATCTTCCGGTGAGCACATTGCACCACAAGAAGGTAATGGCTGGAAAGGAATAAGATTTCTGCGATTTCTGCGCTCTGCGAGGTTCAAAGACGATGTCGTAGATAGTTTGTGGGCATGGCATGCGGAACTGCGGCCGCCTGTGCAAAACTGAAAGGAGGCAGACTCGTAGCAAAACAGAAAGGTCGATTGACATGCAGCTCTGAAGCGGGGAGTGTGTAGTCAGCTTAGAACCAGCACAGCTTGCAATCTCAATCGCTTAAGCCTTCGGCCCATCCGAGATGCGATTCATCAACAGAAGCTGTCTCGGCCAGGCGACGCTGAACAGTTCCGCCAAGGACGGCAGAAAGACGTGGTTGCTCCTCATACGAGGACCATGACGAAACACACTCGAAGACACTGCCCAAACTCAGGGCTTCCAGGGCCACAGTTTAGGGTTTAGGGTTCAGGTTCAGAGTCAAACTGAAGCAGCCAGCGTTCTGCTACTGTACTAGCTTCTCAAGACATGGAAGCATCACCAGCCCCACAATCTGAAGTTGATGATCATCTTGGCCTTCATAATATAAGAAACCTTCCAGAACCTTCCAGAGCAACCCGAAGTATAGACTCCCTATAAGGCCGCCCTACTTATAGAACCTTTTTTATACAGCCCCTAAACCCCTAAATCCTTACACCTCTTGAACCCTAAACCCTTACACCCGAAACCCCTTAACCCAAAGTCCTTAAATCCCCTAAACCGTTTAGGAGCCAAGAAATCTATCATGGCCCAGCCTGCAGGGAGCCGGGATGGATCCCGCCACGGCGATGGGGCCCCCAGCACCGAGCCAGGCCAAGGCTACCTGGGGTTCGGGAGACCTAAAAAGGAACAGGGTTGAAGCTTGGGGGTTTAGGGTCCTTTAGCTTTTAGGGTCCTTGAGGCTTCAGGTTTCTTTAGGCTTTAGGTTCGAGGCTTAGGGTTAAAATAGGAGCACGGGAACATACGGGAACACTGCCAATGCCTTGCCCACAGGCTCGGAACACTGGGGAAAGGGGCGCAGCACGTACCCGGTCTATGTTCCAACCTTGAGGTCGCTACTGAAGAGAGGGATCTATGTCAGGGTGTCCTCATGTTCCGAGACTCCCAAATGCGGAGCAATATCACGTGGCAGATCGTTGTCGAAATACATGAGCATCGGGAAAACAGAGGTGCAACGTCTAGATAAGTCCGAGCAGCCGTGGGTCTGCCCCTAATGGGCACATCGACAGCAACTTCGGAACAACGACTGCCAGAACGGCCGAAAGAAAATAAAAACAAATAGAAGGACGAAGAACACCCCAACTCCCATATCCGCCAGACCCGACCCGTCGCCCTAACCAGCAAACAACCGCCCAGCAGCCGTGAGGATGCAAACGATTGGCCCAAGGAAGGCCGCACGCTTCATGAGCGCACCTGGGCAGATGTGCGGGCTCGGTAAGTCAAGGCTTAGGGTTTATGGTTTGGGGCATAGGCAAAAACATCTAGCTTTGAGACCTCAGGGCCCAGGGTTTGTTGTTGAACTTCTGCTGCTTCTTGGGCAGGCAGCTCCGAAGTTTGTAAGAGCCGTATGCTGCTTGGTGATCTGTATACTCACGTACATGATAGAATGCTTGGTTTATGTTGCCATGTTGCTGCAGACGAACATGCGAGAGCCATTCCGGTTAAAGCTTACCCCTGTTCCTCGCGACGGAGCGGCGATTCCCTGTCACAAATCTGAATACTGAGCATCGGCAGCAGCATACTTTGCTACGAGTACCTGACAAGAACACCACGGCTGACCCCACGAGAATGCTGGCCTGGGTTCCCGAAAACGTAGACCAGCGTGATAGGTGTCAGCAGCAAGGCCCACCACTTGTGGCCGCAGTTGTCGCAGCCAAGCCTCGAAAGCAGGCCCGCAAAACCAGGCCAGGTAAAAGACATACGAAGCGAGAGAGAGGGGGGCTTTCTTGCCTTGGGGCCCCGGCCAGGGCCAGGAGATGGGAAACAGGAAGTTGAAGTTCTGGGCCTCGAGCACCAAGGTGGTGCACATCCTCGGAGTGAGAAGGGATCCCTCGTCTTTCTCAAGCTAAGGGTGAGAATGAAGAACTCCTGCATTACCTTAAGGACCCTAAACTACGGAAAGTAGGGTCTATTCCTAGTTATGGGTACTGCAGGATTTCTATCATCAACCGTAAGGGTGAAACTTAACCCGCAGCCCGACTCCACCCTGAACGCCTGCTCCGTGCATTGCACCGTCGAGTTCTCCATTAAGACAAAGTCAGTACCCACCCATCAAATCAGCCAGGGTGTCATCCCCAGCAGCGCGAGCCTCACACGATCGTAGCTCTCGCATACTGCGGCTTACGGCTTCCGGATCTAGGGAGGTCGTCCTTTTCCGGCTATGTCTTCAGTCTCTCGGAGGTATGTGAGCGAGCCTTCGACGCAGGATCCCAAGCTCCAATGGAGTGCCATAAGTCATAAGAGTGCAAGCGAAGATCGGGTTTAAACCGAACCTCCGTATTCACTTTAGCCAGCCTTTCTCATCCATGAGGCAGGGTTTAGCAGGTGCTAAATGTAGTCTCGGGAGCTTGTGTGCTTGACTGCAAGGACCTTTCTGCGTTGATATGTACGAGTAACAACTCAAGTTGAATGCGCAGGGCCAACTTCGCGTAGCCAGCACGACTAAAGCAATTGTCTATAAGTTAGTGGTGGCACGTATGGTAATGTAAGCAGCGCTCGACCTCACAGGAAGAAGGAGAACAATCGTAAGCAGCGATCAACACACGAAACATGAAAGAGCTTTTTGGCTGAAACATGTTGAAATACTCACAACGAGTCTGAGAATATGGACAGAAATATTCTTGCACAGAGAATCGAAGGAGCCAGGTGGCATGCTGGTCACGGATGAGAGGCGCTTGCCCCAGATGCCAAATGCCGCTTTCGCAAAGTCCGGATACCTAGAGTTACGTCAGGGCTTGAGGACACTGACGTGTAATGTAGGGGCCTTAATAGTTAGAATAGGGTTTTGGGGTACATATAAGTATAATCTATCAGAGCTGTATGGCTTGGGGTCCCGTGTCAAAGGTAATAGGAGTTTCGAGCAGCCTCACAGTTCGCCCATCCAGCGGCCGTCATTCCAAAAATCCAGAACCGCAAACACTACCCAAGCCACACCTGGGCCCCAGGAGACCTATCCTTTCTGGGATTCCCCACTGTAGTATAGCTTCCTTATATAAATACGTAAGTCCTTAGAAAGGTAACGTAGGGGCCTCAATAATTACAATGGGGGTTCCTTATTCTAACAAAAAAGTATAATACCTCTAATTATTATGACCCCTCTCCTGTGGTCAGAGCTTTCTCTCCGTGTATGGGTAGTTCTCTAAACATACTGTATGAGGGACCTAAAAGTGGACCCTATTTGGGGAACTACCCGAATAGAACCCTTATAGAAACCCCTTATAGATCCCCTTACAGGGCCCTAAAAGGGGACCCTAATTTAAAGAACTACCCAAATGGAGTCCAGGCAGCGCTAAGACTTGGACGTCCCGCTGCTTCTGGAGCTTGTCGATGGTGGAGGTGACGAGCCTCTTTTGCTTGTGACATATGGGGCCTTAAATTTACTTAGAGTCTATAGGGTTTTGGGCTATGCCCTAGGAATTGCATTGGTGCTCATTATTGCAGCCTCTTTCCGTGCAGCTTGAGATTTGACTTCTTGCCACGGGATATCTTGAGTCCTGTGTCTCAAGACCTTCTTTCTTTAATGACCGAGACGTTTGGGCACCACTATACTATTCAAGACGTTGACATGTAAGTGTTCCTGCACTTTGACCGCCGTCCTTGCAACCGAACTCAGAAGTTTACTGATTGCCGGGCGCAATTCGTGGAAAGAGCCCTGTCAGGGTCTACTTTGGTGTTTACAGCTTGCATGGCACGGTAGTTATTTTTTGAGCAGTTGGGTTTCTGAAGATCTCCGGCTTGAGTCCTGCATGGCATGGCTCGCTTTTCGCGCCCCTACAACGCTTTGAGACGCAGCCTGTAGACGCTTTTTTGGGGGTCCGCTGGGAGAATTTCAAGGCAAAGCTGAGAGGAAGGTTCCTCGAAGAGGAGTAGGAGGGTGCTAGGGTGCTCTTTATGAAGCTGCTTCAAGGCACTTCTTGGCCCCACCTTGGGTTTATGCTCTTATGACTCTATGACTAATTCAAGGCACTTCTTGGTCATCAAGGGTAGTAAGGTAAGGGTTGGGACCCGACCAACCTGGTGTTCTCCGCCACGATGAAAGCCCCAGCAATCACCTCGAAATTCTGCAACGAGATGTCAAGGTTTGCCTTCGGAGTTTCAAACCAAAACGTGCAGAATCTTGTTTTTGGGGTTCTAGAGTTCCTTGGACATTTCTTTCCACCACGCAGAGCCCGTCGACAGACAGCGCGTCGGTACATTTTGCAAGGCGCCCGCACAGACGGGGAAGCTGCACATCGAACCGTCTGCTTACCATCCGAGCGACACTCAGCGGCGGCAATATCCAGCCTGCTGGCGTGCACTCGAAAAGGTGGAGGGCTTGGAGTCGGAGTTGCAACGTCCAGCCTCGATAATGCTTCGGCCCGCCAACCTAAACCTTGGCCCTCCGAGCCCAGAAACCAGAAGCTTCACAAGCGCAAGCCGATCCTAAACATCTGTCTCTAAGTTAAGCATGGAATTCCAACAACCCCCAAATCCCACAGCCCGGAAGCCGGAAAACATGCATTCAAGATGCCGAGTTTTCTCATCTGCGAGGCCAGGCCCAGTGTGGTTGAGCCAACAATGGAAAGCACCTGTGGCAAGAGTGGATTTCAGCAAGCGTCTGTCTCTAGGTAGCCGGCTAGCTAGCTAGGTACTGGTAGCCAGGTAGGTGGGTAGGCACGTACTTGAACAAATCTGAAAACCGACATACCAATATATGCATAAGCACATCGTGAAGAAGCATTCACAGCATTATTACATCAATGCATGAGTCTGCTGTCACTTCCTCAAGGAACCGCTCATGCTTGACTCCGATGACACACAAGCAAGAACCCGCCAGCACAGCCTCCAGACTCCAGTCTCCGAAGCTGTTAGCTAATTTCCCGAGCCCTCCAAACCCCCAAGAGTCTCCAAGAGTCATAAGCCCCAAAACCCTTCTACAACCCTGCAGTATACAAAGCTGTGAGATCCTGCTCCCAAAACGCTCGAAGTCCTTGCGAGAGCCCAGCAGAGCGCCGGGGCCCGGGCAAAGTTGCTGATCAAACCCTTGGCGCTCCTTGGACACCGGTTTTGTGTAGGGTGTCCATTTGGCTTTGTATCAGTAGGGTCAGAACTGGGGAAAACAGAAATTGGTATGGCCGCCCACCAAGCCATTAACGTTGAGAAAAACCTCTTCGAAACAGAATCAAGGCTCATCTTGTACTTGTCCCGTGCCCGCGGCTCCTTGTGGCCACTGGACCTCAGAAGCATGAGTACGTTTTTTGCAGTCTGAGGACAGCTGCAAGGAGGCAAAGAGAGTCACGACGGCTGAAAGCGCATGAATCACCTGAAGTGGATCTCGACCCACTGTGGAACAGTCCAATTGCTAATCCACCAGTCCTGCTAGAAGCAACTTCAGGGAAAAAACAAGCACCCACAAACTCAAATGCTCTGGCTGCCCTTAACGCACAAACTCCTCCATCTGTAAACTCTGGGCTTCTAGGAAACTTTGCTCCTAGTCCTAGCATCCCACAAACATATGTACACTCACCAATTCTCCTTAAGAGCCCTCTATACACTCTCTGAACTTCTCTTCTAAACCCTTCGCACTTGATGGTTTGTCCAAGCGGCTCTTTGAAGCCTTCACCCATCTCCTCCTCCAGCTCCTGCTCCTCCTGGCTTCGCGGACCCCGCAAAAGCCCCAAACCCCGCACCTGGCCACCACCCCGCGAGGTAACGGGAACGTGAAACCCAAAGATTCCAACATCAAAACATGAACGGGACCACCGACGACCCGTAACCATCACGAAATACCAACACACCACCCGCCCACCCCCGCCAGCGCCACAACCATCACCAGCAGAACATAAAGCCACTACATTATAATGACCACCGTGATCATGATCGTGGTCATTCTGATCCTCATGCGCTGGGCTTGCTTGTAGGTCGGGGTGCTTCAGTAACCAACCACTCGACTCAGCATGGTGTCCTGGCAGTGCGACCTATGTGGGCTTTTGCTTTTTGTTTGATTTCGTTGCCAGTGTCACGCCCCCGCCACACCCCACGTTATCCCACCACAAATACAAGCCCCAAGCCCCGACACCCTCTAAACACAAAGCAATCGAGTCCTGAACCACTAAACCCCCAAAGCTTATTGGTTGCTTTTGGGATTCGGGCACCTTCGGGGTGCGAGGGTTCAGCCTCACTTTCCCAATACTGGACTGGACTGATACATGTACAACATATGGACTCGAAACAGCTGCATGTTGAAGGGCTGCGGGTGTGTAGTTAACAAGACTTATGAAACAGCAGAGACAGAACAAGGTCGCCATCATCATCATCATCATCATCATCATCATCATCATCATGATCATCATCATCATCATCATCATCATCATCGCGGTCACCCTTCTCATGCTCCTCTGCTTTTCGTCCTTCTCTCCTCCTCCTCCTCCGCCGCCACCTCCGCCTCCTCCTCCTCCTCATAATCGTCATCATCACCATCATCACAGTGCTCATCATCATGGTGATCGTGATCACAGTCATGAGGCCATCCTCCTGCGTTTCAGACGTCAGCCCTAACTACCACCACATCTGCCCCAAGCCCCCAATTCCAAGCAAACCCTGTTTACGCCGACAGTTCTCAGCTCCAGCTGAGTTTCCACATCAAGGCGTCAGGTTCCAGGGGTTTCGTGGTCTAAGGTTTCCCTTTCTTTAGTCATATCGTGGTTTTTGGGCTGCACCCCTGTCCTCGGCACCAATGACGCCGCCAAGCACGCCAAGCTGGTAGGCTTCGCCGATTCTGGGGCTATGCTGGATTGACGTCTGGTTTTAGTCGCGCGGGGTTGTCTGACTTCTGGCACTGAACTGCCAGTAAAGGTTTCTGCCCCATGGCCGAGGCTTTTTTCAAGCATCTTCGATTGTTGCCACGATTAGAAACCAGAGGCTTCTTGGAAGGCTGATTTTGAAAACGCTGATATGTAGAACACAAAAGCGATGAACCACAGGATTACATATGCGTGCCTCTGGTGTTGCATGCACATGTCGGCTAAGGCAGCCTCCACACAAAGCTCAACGCCCCTATCGCCCGGGACATTAGCCCCGAACTTCTGAGTCCTGTATCCGATGAGTTGGCTGTGAGAGATCGAAGCGCTTCTGCGGTTTGAAACGTGCTCAGCCACTGCTGAGAAAGTTCCGGGGGGCTCTGCGCTGTCCTCGCTTCCGCTACCTTCCAGAAAACTGTTGGAATGGTGCCAAAACTTCAGTCCTTCCGCGGGAGCTCCACTCCGCAGGGCTTCTGTTCTATCGGCCTATCTAGGTTCTGGACGGGCAAAGGACCCCGGAAACAAGTCGCCTAGCTCGAAATGAGGCCCTGAGATTCTGTGCTTCCCAGACATGCTACATGGCACTACCAGCAGCGAAGCCATGCACACAAACGTGGCAAAACCCGACTGATTGTCACAGAGATGGTTTCCCTAAGCCCTGTAACTCCCACATGCAAAGGCCGGAAATGGGCGGCAAGGGAGCGCAACAAACCCCTTGTCGTCGACGTCGCGCAGGCTGCAGTGGTTCTTGAATCGAAATCACCATCGCCATCGTCGTCATCGTTGGGAGCTGTGGTGGTGGTGTTGGTGGTAACGGCGGCGGTGGTAGTGGTGGTGGTGGTGGTGGTGGTGGTGGTGGTGGTAGTGGTGGTGGTAGTGGTGGTAGCGGTGGTAATGGTGGTAGTGGTGGTGGGGGCCGTGGCGGCCGTGCTGCCGCTTGCCA